TCCATTTTCGATAGCATTTGTCCTTATTAGGGTCATTGGTAAACTGATGCCGATCCAAACTGGCTTTGAATGAGAGCTGGGGTACATACTGGACTGGTGGCCAGCCAATTGCAAGCCACTGTCACACTTAGAGATAATTTGGAGTCTTTCATGAACCTTAAAGTGTGCTTCTGGAATGGAGGAGGAACCCGGAGAAAATGAGAAGATATGGCAACCAGTAGCAGGTTGGTATCAAAAATTCCAACACTCCAAAAGTTTCCTCAGGCTTGATGTGGGAAAAAGTATTGCAAAGTCCACCCGTAAGATTTCCTTTTTCTACATTTCTGTATTTCCACTGCGAGATGATAAGATTGAGACGTGATGACGTAAATATTGACCCGTAGCCTCGGGATCATTAGAAATCTGTCAGCATGTGACAGGAGGGTGATGCACTGCTTTAACGAAGGCAGTCTCGCTTTACAAATTCGCTGTCCATATGGTGGAGGGCAATTTTTCTAAGTCCATTTTTTAAAAATGATTTAATTTCAAGTCAAACCTGGTCCATAATGAGTGTAATAAATGAGAACAGATTGCTTTGACTTGACGCTGATATACATTCAAAGGTGACAACGAAAAGACGAAACCTGCAGATAAACGGCCAGAGTGATGATACAATAGTCACGACAAGCCCCCTAATTATTGCATTATTTGGCTGTCATCACTGCGCGCACACATCAAACCTCCTGTCTCAGAGGTGCGGCATGAGCGGCGAAGAAAAAAAAATAAAAAAAACTTTGATAAATGTATGTAATATTTAAACTACTGAATCGTTAACAAACTTGAGATGACAGAGCCAGAGATCGGGACAAATCTCTGCAGCACAAAGCTGATATTTTGATTTTAGAGACTGTGATAAGATTAAGAATTTAGAGAGACTGTACAGTTTGCGGCGCTGTATGTGAATTAATCGTCTTGGATGTGTATTAAGAAAGCTCCAGCAGGCGCTGGGTGCAGTGACAACCTGCCGGTACAAAAACGCCATATGAAGACTAAAAAGTGGGTGTTACTACGCGCGTGAACCAGATATGATATCGTCCTATTAATGTATGCCTGACGATCAGATTTCATCTCGCAACGCCGCTCCCGCAAAAGGTCAATTACTATCTGACATGCCCCAAAAAACACAGAGAGCGAATGGTCTTCGACGCCTGTCGTGAAACATTGCGTCATCGCCAGCCAATCACAAGCCAAAGCCGGCGGGGTCTTTGTGCAGCGGGAACGAGCAGGTGCTCGACAGCCAATAAGTGAGTGAGTGCGCATACAGGCTGGATGTCAGTCGACTTGCAATCTGTCTTTAAAATAAAGCTCAATAAAAGAGGAAGAGTTCATGTGAGGTTCGCTGTTTATGCCTGCCGGAAAAAAAACATCAAGAGCCCAAAACTGCCCACGTGCCTGAGGAAAAGAAGAAAAGCAGAAGAGAACAACTGGAATGGAAGAATATACTGTGAGGAAGTGAAGGATAACCGATGAAGACGCAAACTCGTGTGGCTGCTAAACAGCGTTTGTAATTAAGAGGGCAATAAAATGGGAGTATCGGGAGTAAATCCCATTTTCAGTTGATTTGGCGGGATTGATTACGACGTTCGGATCCCATAAAAATAATACTGCCTTTGGCAAAAGTAGTCAGTCGAAGGTGACACTTTTAGGGGGTGGGTATTCATTTAAACAAGTGTTTATTAGTGTGGTGGTATTCAAACTGACTGCACGCATTCATTGTTTTGTATGCGAGTGATAGACAGCGGTGAGCTCTGGCGTTATGTACAAATTCTAATAGGAGTGGAAGTCCGTTATAAGCCGAGGACCCTTTTTACGATGGAATGAGGGACCAAATGTTACACTACCTCTGAGTATTATAGTAATTAAACTTTTACGAAAGCACTGCAATGACTTACAGCTCCCTGTAGATGGCAGCGTTGCATGACTTTGAATGTGAGATCAGCACAGCTTTGGAACACTTTATTATGCACCAGTGACTTGAACGGGGTATGGCATTGAAACTTTTGAATATTTGTCACAATCGTGACAAAAGTTGGCCCAGGTCAAGGAGTAATAGAGGAGTCTTGTTTGAAAAGTATTAGAGACAACGTCACCGTTTTGTTTGAGATGATTCTGCTCACCTAAAGATCATTTTTTCCATTTTTTTGGGTCAAAAACCAATGTTCCCAGTGAAATCAGCCCATGTTTTACGTCTGTTACTAATGAACAGAAAGAGCAAAAGTAGTTTTTTTGTGGTAAAGGAAGATAATCTTTGTCTTGGGGTAGGTTTGGTGCTTTTATTACATTCAAAGCAAACATGGTGAAGCTGCAGTTAGCTGTTATGCTGCATTCAAATGGAATAAACAGAATTGAAATCATCGCAGAGTGTAAATGCTTTAAAATCCAGATTACAAACGATTGTTCTCCCCCCGCCCCCCCATGCCTTTGATCGATGGTCTTTTAAGCATTTTTAAATCACTTTCATTGTCCGGTCTTTCAGTCGTTTTAAAAAGCTACTTTTTATTTCTTTACCTTAAATATCTATAAACCTTTTTGTTTTCTGTGCTTTAATATTTAATATTCTGCCACACAAAAGTACACTTCTTTTTTTTTTTTCAAACTCACATTGAAAAGTGCCACTGCAGCATGGGATCGAGAGATTTAAAAAGCAGATGAACACGAAGGTTAGCAGGATCAGTCATCTGTGGACAATGGCATCATCGTCGGGTTTCAACGCTTCGCTCGGCTTAAGCTATTGCCGCGCTCGTGTGACATCTAATGGGCTTACTTCCATTCGCCATGGCAGCCGGCGGTTAGAAGCCCCGCCTGCTCCGGCGGCACTTTGCGGCAGATTAGACATGTTCAACTAACTGCGCTTAATTGCCACCAGTGGCGATGATACTTAAAAAAATGTGGATCAGTATTATAGTATTGTTTGACCCAGGATTGCGCAAAAGTGGGTCAAATGTTGCCCGGTTTATGGGAATGTTCAGGCAATGCATGACACATTTGGGAACATTTTGACGTTGAGCGATATTACGTGACTTTAAATTCCCAAATAAACCGCCGAGGCGACAAGAACTAGAATCTGTTGTGACAGACACAAGGCTTTAGCTTAATAAAGCATGAAATCAAATGAACTGCAGAGTGCAAAAGGTCCAAACACGCTTAAGTCGGCAGTCACCTGAATGTGACCCGGATGAGCTCGTGAAGAAGACAGAAGCAAAGTGTATTTCCCCCCGCTGAGGTGGAATAAAAGATTTTAGGCGTAGTTGAGCTCTTACGAATCTCCTAAATGAAGACCTTATTCCAGCGCGTAGCCACCGACAAGACCCTCGGCATCGCCGCACAGCTAGTCTCTTCCTCGGCTTTCTTGCTTTTGTGTTCTTTTAAACTTCCTTTCAGTCCTATCATCTCTTCCCTCGGGCCCACTCGACTGTCCGCCTAAATGACGGCTGAGGATGAAGACTTTGAATCCTCACGCAGCACGCCATTTGCTGTTCACTTTCACACCCCCGCACCCTCCGTGCTTTTACCTCCGCTCTGTGTGTCCTTGAATGGACCCCAATGAAAATAGTATGGCCGGGCAATCCTAATTTGGATCAACGCTAAATGGCCGGACCCACCAAATGCATAGTGGCCAATGAAAACCTTATAAATCCAGTTTATAGCTAACTTTACTCGAGAAGGTGATGAGGCTAAGCGTGCACTGCCAGAAGTGTATAGCCGAGCAACCAATAAAAACAAGGCTACCAGAACACAAAAAAGTGTTCTTTTACCAACACCCATTCAGTTGATGGCATGGCAGTCTTCTATTCCTATAACATATTCTGAATTTGCACGGTTGTTGGAAATACAGTGCAGTCTATCTCGCATGAACATACGCCAATGCAATGGAATATCAATAGAAAATAACCCAATGGAAAAAAACGTAAATGTGGTGCTCCTTTGTATGTCATTTCGACTACCATGCTCTTAACTTGAAAATCTTGCATCTCAGATCATCTCTTCTCAGTGAAACAATGGAAATGCTATTATTGTGTTCCAGCCTTCCCCAACAAAACAACACAAAATTCTATACTGTGTATTTTAATCAGGAAAATATATATTTTATGGAACCATAATATTGTGATATACTTAAATACAATTCAAACTTTCTAGTCTACCCGCCCTGGTACCAGGATGCAGCATAAGACAGACAGAAAGAAATGGACAAGAAATGAAGGAAATTGCTCCTTCTCATCATTATGTCAATTAAACCAAAACTGAATGGGTTCCACAAACTTCAGCGGAAATGAGTCATGTCGCTTTGCTTCCATGTACGACAAACCGCAACCTTGATAAAGGTAACCATACGGACTACAAGCATCATCCAATTAAGGTTCACCGCGACCTTCAATTAGCTTTGTCATTGGAACACCTGCAGCATGCACCTCACTGAGAAGATAGGACAAATGATCGAACGTATAGAGGATGACCTGCACATTCATCCATTAGAAAATACAATCCTCAACATGGCCACTGGACAAAAAGTCCCTTTCATCAGCGGACATCACACCCGGCAATTATGAGTCTTCTGCCGCGTGTATGATTGTCTTTCCTATCACCACCTCACAAGGAAGAGCTTCCATATAAGGGTCTTCATATCCAGCACACCTGCACACACACAAGCAGCACCTGCTCCAACCTCACTGTGCTCACCCCCACCCACCTAAAGCACCTCTAACCCGAACTGAGCTTCACCCGCACCACCTGCATCCAGCATCACTCTCCTCCGGCACGGCCCAGCCCCCCCATCTTGAACAGTGTGACAGTCAGCAGGTTGGATCGCAAGTCACACGCACACACACACACACACCCACACACCCACAACCACACAAACAC